AAAGAAAGAGAATATATTTTTTTAATTCTGTGATTTGAGTAAATTATATCGATTTGTCTATTATAAAGTTTGTTATAATTATTATAATGAATAATTATTAAATTATTTATACAACGATTGTAGGTTTTAAATAAGATACGAAACAGTGTATGTTCCTATTAATGTTTTATCTATACGACCAACTCCTAATAAGTATTCGTTTTCTGGAATGTAATGCTTATGACGGCTGTTTTCTCTGATGCAACGGCAATTCGCATTAGTGAGACTAGAGGTAATTTTATACAGACAAAAATCGATTGTCGATTGGATTGCGAGGTCAGATCCTCATTAACTATGTTTCCTCATTAACTATGGTGCAGGAAGGGATAATTACATAAATAATCCAACTCCACAGGTCGTATGTAGCAGTCCGATTCAATAAAAATAATTGCACCGTTATTACTTCACTATATTGATTGAAACCCTCGTTACGTAAAGCAATATATTCCACGAGGTTTAATAATAATAATAAATATTGATAATATGTTAACAATAATAATAATAATGCAATACCATTCTCTTAAGCATTATTTTTTACCTATTTTAATCTATTTTCTCCTTTAACGATGAAAATTATTTTAACTCACGCGCATTTATTCAGTTTCTAATTAAAACAGTCTTTTTATGGCAACTCACCTACCTACACGTCAGTCGATCCGTTTTCTAACGCGTAATCATTACGAGACTGCCTTTTCGATTTCCCGTAATGCGACGCGAACGCTGAGGCTTCACATTAACGCGGCTCTCGCCAGTAGTACGCCACGGGAGCGAAATTGATTACCAATAGTACTGCGAGTACGGCAGCTCTCGCGCTCTCGTGTTCGGGCAGTAATGATGTTTTGATGCGAGGACCCGGTGCACTGCGTATCGACTGCAGTTAACTAATGGAAGCTCCCCGATAATTGCGAATGCCGTCGGAGAGTAAATGCTGCTAGCGCGACAGTAATCATCGTTACTCCACTCACGCACTCGCACAACGATGAAGGAAGCCCTTCTCTCGTGCTTTTTGCTTCTTGCTGCATTATTAAAAAAAATCTCTCTAGCTAACAAATATACGTACTATTCTTTCAATAAAATTATCTTTTTATTAGAAATGATTATAGATATTCATTGTGCAATAATTCATTAAAAATTAATTGTAGCAATGAAATAAATATAAAGCATACTTTATAATGTTTTTGCTGACTAAATAAAGAGGAAATATATGTTACTGATTATTTATATATATCGTTAATTTTTTATTATATTTGGACAATTTTTAGTGAGAGAGAGAGAGAGAGAGAGAGAGAGAGAGAGAGAGAGAGACCGCAAAGGGGGGACATGAAAAGAGAATTTCAAAAGAATGGAAGAATCAATTTGCAACTTGTTTTATTGTCATTTTACTACCTTAAAATTTCTTAAATATTATATGAATCGATAGAGAGAATTGTGTATATCGTATATATGTATATAAGCAAAAATAGGCATTATTCATGCATTTGCTCGAAGTGCACTAAATTACGATTTGAAAAGGCATATGAGAGACATCCGTTCTCCAATTGAATACTGTATTTTTGTCTTTTCCTTGCAGAAATATGTTTTATATATATATATATATATATATATGCACACGCACAATATATATCCGTAAAAAGTAAGGTAAATTCCGTCTGTCAGCGATTCGTCAATAATTCTCGTACGCTTTTTGAAATTCTGTTTGTAATTCATTAGCGCGATTTCCGAGCTGCTCGTTTATTCAATTTGTCCGCTCGGCATCTGATTTACTTTGCCATTTGTTAATAGTTTTTCATTTCAGTCGATGAAAATTGTAACGCTTTTAATAGATAGTATAAAGAACAAAAACAAAATATCTTATTTTTGTATTGAGAAACGAGGGTTGCCGCAGATCTAGAAAATCTAAAAAATTTTGAAGTTACGAAAATTTAAATTGGTCATTAAAAGCTTGAAAAAGTGAAGAAAAAATAAAAGAGCCTGGAATTTTGAAATTTTTTATATTTCTCCTAAATACTTTTATTTTAAAGAATATTTATAATTTTAAATAAGTCTAACATTTATAGTCAAAATATTGAAAAATTGTACACTTTATAATATATTTGTTATGTTTTACTACAAGGGAGCTTTTGAGATGCGCTTGCGTTCATTTCGAAGATAACCAATTTCAATAGCATCTTTGTTTTACAAAGTTAAAATTTAATAATAAAGTAATTGGACCTATTCTTCATCCTACCGTATATCTAAACGCGTTAAGTTTTCTCAGGAGTAAATTTGTTTCACGACGCACAGAGAAGGAGGAGTTCTTCCCTTCAAGAGGAAAGGTTTTTTTGATTCATGATCGATTAAGAGTGACAATTATTTTATAACGTACTATAGTTGTAATGAATATTTTAGTTTCAAGTCTCAGAAATGTATATTTATAATTTTAATATCTAAATTTTTACTATTTCTTCATTAAAAGATTTATTAACACAAACAATATAACTTAACATTTTATTTATATTTATGAATATAAAAAAGAGATGCATATAAGAAAAAGTCCCTGCAACGTGACAAGCCCAAGTTTTCCATTTGATTTTCGCTAGGACACCAGACGGCTAAACTCTTGGAAGAGAATTTGGGCAGTTCGCTCATCGTTTTCCTCTGTGTAAGTCTCTTCTTTCTCTTTCTCATTTCGGTTAGAAGGTTGTGCACCATTGTTCGAGCTATATTTCAGCTGCGATGGTGGCTGCTAAAGTGGAAAAGCGGGGGTGGTTAGTGGTAGTCAGCTGGTTGTGACACGTTGCCTACCTCGCCAAAGAGGAATCAGAGGCGCTTGGGAATATGTGGGGACTAGAGAGGGACCCTTGGTTTCATATTCGCGCAACGATACTCTTTCGTCTGACTAGTCGAGAATTTGACTCTGAAACGATTACATCTAATTATTTATTGTATTGCATTCATATTTGCACCGCATTATTATATTCAGAATTTTCTAATGTTAAAGAGAACTTTTTTACATGATTTTTACCTGAATATGTAAATAAATAGAAATTTATTTGTTACAGTTTTATATTTATGTATCTAACTTTCTCTTACAAAGAAAGATTTATATATTGTTAAAAAAATTTGTATGCAGCTTTTCTTCTTTTATTAAAACATTTATAATCCGATAGTTGAATCAGTATATGTTTGTGTTTTATATTCAGTATAACACTGGATGTATATAATAAATATTGTATTATAAAACGATATTGATATAAATATCTCAATACATAATCTGAAGATATTGATAACGCATTTAGATATCCCTGATTGACAATATTATAATTTATGGTTATTTCTATGCCTCTACATGCACATACGTTCTGATCACTTGTAAAGTCCTTTACTACTCATTCAATCGAACGAAGCTCTTTTGACTTTTGGTGACTTGTCGAATAACTTATGGACACTCTCTGCGTCTTAACTGCAACAATGGCCATGTGGATCCATGTACAAGAGCGAAATGCGAAGAGAGTTTAATAATTATTATTCATAAGATTTTCCTGTGAGAGTCGGCCAGACGTGAGACTAAGCAAGAAAGATGTGCTGCAAACAAGCGAGGGGGTACCATCGCTTCTTCGGGACTTGCTTATGTCCTCCTCATCCCTTCTGGCAGGGAACTGGAGTATTCTACGACGGGAAGGGGGTGTGCTCGAGTCAGTCGAGCAGAAACCCAATCACTTCCGGCGTCTGCGCCCATTAGGGCGCCGCGACGCTGACGTCGGCTGACGTACGCCCTTCCTCTTCGTGTTTCGCTCATTCTACCACCGTTCCTCCCTGGTTGTTCCTATCTCATACTATATTGAACTTACTACCCTCTTGGACTTCGACCAACATCGAAACAGACCGCAGATCTATTGTTCGGAAAGCGTTCACATGGAAGCTTCTTCAACGCGGCTAATGACGTATCGAGGATTTTCTTCCTCTTTACCGGATTTTTCCGTTTTTACTCGCTCATTTCCCGAACCAGTTGCAGTTCGCTTTTTCTTGATTGTTGCAAAGATAGCGAATTGCGTCAAGACAATCTTCTTCTCTTACATCGCGTATATCGCATGTAAAACGCAAAGGAGATGAAAAGGTGTAAAGTATAATATTTGCAAGAAAAATTTATGAAAGTAAAAGAAAAAAAGAATTCTTTATTCTCTTTATATAGGGGAAAGTTGCTAAATGCGTACCACTTAACGTATTTTTTATTATATTTCTCATTTAGAACTGATTTGTGTGCAAATGAAGATTAGAAATTGTACTTTGATATTTCAAGTACCTATTATTACACGTTTTA